GGCGGGCCGGCGGGACGCGCGGACGGCGCGGGGCTGCAGCAGCGCTGCGCGGGGGCGGCTGAGAGCAGGCGGTGAGGCCCGGCCGCACTGTGCTGCGCCGCGTCCCGCCCTGTCCCGTTCCACAGCGCTGCGGGAAGCGATGGGAGCGGCTGCAGTACAGCGCTTTGCTTACTGCAAACGGCGCGTCTTTACGATGGGCGGCGGCTTGGCAAGACGGGCGTAGAAAGAAATGGAAGGAGTGAGAGAGGCGTGTGACCCGCTGAAGGTATCGTTAATGCAGACAGCGTGAAGGTGCTGGGCGTGCAGAGGCCTCTTCTGCAGGGAGAAACGGGGTGAGCTGCCAGCAGCTTCCGTCAGTGGCCGCCGAGCGGCGAGCTGAAGTCGTGGGCAGTACCTGAAGGGAGCATCCGTGAAAGCTGGGATGGGGCTGTTTGATAAGGGTGTGTCGCGACAGGATGAGGGGAAACGGCTTTAAAGTGGAAGGAGGTAGATTTAGATTGGATGTTAGGAGGAAATTATTTCCTGAGAGGGAGCAGCTTGTGGATGCCCCTGCCCTGGAGGCATTCAAGGCCAGGCAGGATAGGGCTTTGAGCAACTGGGTGTGGTGGGAGGTGTCCCTGCCTGGAGCAAGGGATTGGAACTAGATGATCTGAAAAGTCTCTTCTAACCCGAGCCATTCGGTGGTTCTGTGATTCTTTGTAAACTGCAGGGAACTGCAGAGGAGAATGGCTTTAAGAAAACAGTAGCACTACAGATGCAGTGTGCAGTTCAGAGAGCACCTCTGTGCAGTGAGAGCAGGGAGCACCTGAAGCAGTACGGCCCAGACACAGAGAGCAGCTCAGAACGATGATTGAACCGTGGAAACACAAAGCTGGAGTGGAGCTACAAGGTCATCCCATCCAACCGTCCTCCTACCGCCATTACCACCGCTGAGCTACTCAGCCTTATCTTGTGGCACCTCGTCCAGAATGTCAGCGGTCTGTGGGCTGGTTCGGCCCGGTTCCATGACTGGCGGGTGGGGGGATCTGTGGATCCGCACCCTGGAAAAGGGAAATGGGAAAAAGGATAAAGAGATGGGCTCTAAAACAGAACAGAAGCGACAATCTGAAAGGAAACAAACTAATTTACTAGAAAAGATATCGGAATGCAAGATAACACGCTATAATAAAACATAGTACAAGGTAATTAGAATTTGAGCTAAAATTGAGCTAAAATGCAAAGAGACAGAGTGTCCAAAAGCCAAAGGCCTTACTCTCACGCTGAGGCAGACGGGCAACAGAGGTGAGCCAGACGATCAAAAGGGCCATCAGGTGACCTCCCAAGGCCTTCTATCTTTTCCCTCTGAGCAGAAATGGTAACAGAACAGTGAACAGCACCCCATGGCCAAGAGGACCCAGTGTCCGTGTTCACATATCCTCATCTCCGACACCGAAGGGATTTTGGTGCCTTTGTTTGGGTACAGAATGTTCACCCGTGGACAATGGACCCTCTGTCCATGTCCCTGTAGTGTAGTGACAGAGCTCAGCGGGCTTTGGCATCAATGTCCCCCCCTTGGCCATGAGGGACCCAATGTCCACGTCGCCATACCTGTGTCCCCTGTGCCAAGGCAACCTCGGTGTCACCCATGGAGGACAGAATGTGTCCAGGTGCCACGGCCCCATGTCATTGTTGCCAGGAGCCAAGGAGACCTCAGTACCACTTTCTTTGGGGTACGGTAGGGACGCCCGGTGCATCCTCATCCCCATGACAAAAGGACCCCGGTGTCCTGGTCCAGGTCTTCCTGTCCTCAGTGCTGAGGGGACCTCAGTGTCACCTTTGGGGTACCAGAACGGTCCCCCACATCCATGTCCCCAATGCCAAAGGGACACCACTGTCACCTCTGGGGTCCAAGTGTCCATCTCCGTGTCTTTGTAGCACAGAAGGGTCCCTGACATCCCCAGTGCTGAGAGGACCTCACTGTCACCATGGGACTACAGAACGGGGTGAAGTGTTCACCTCCCCGCTGTGTTATCCCAGTGGTAAAGGGACGTCCGTGTCACTTTTAGGGTACAGAAGGGACCCCATGCGTGTGTGCGCCATGTCCATGATCCTGTGCCCAAGAGGATCCCATGTCCATGTCCCCATGTCGTCATCCCCAATGCAAAAGGGATTTTGGTGCCCTTTTTTGGATACAGAAGGGACCCCTGTGCCCACGTCACTGCAGCCAAGGGCTCCTCCAGGTGTGTGCATCCCCACGTTCCCAGCACAGAGGGGACCTCACCATCACCTCCGGGGTACAGAAGGGCCCCCGACGGCATTTGGGTGGTTCGTCCCCCTCCCTCACTCACCCCAGCCCTCCCCCAGCTCCTCCAGCACCTCCCGCATGGTCCCCATCCCCCCCCCCCGACCCGAACACGCGATCGATGCGGTTCTCCCGGTCCCACACGCAGCGCCCGCGGTAGCGGATGCGCACGATGCGGTGTTCGGGCACCGCCAGGTCTGCGGGCCCCGCGTCGCACAGCGGCCCCGTGAAGAACTCCAGCAGCGGCCGCTCCACGACGCCCACGAAGCGGTCGCGGTACTCCACGGTGGCGGCCGCGGGGTCCGCTCGAGGGTCCCAGCGGAGGCGGCTGAGGACGGCGGCGGCGCGGCGCAGCGGCGGCTTCTTCCCCGCCGCTCCCGGTTCCTCGCGCGTCGCTGCCGGTTCCGGGCCGGCGGTCGGACTCCGCCCCGGGTGCGGGTGGCGGCAGCGCGGCCCGAAACGGCAGCGGCCCTCCAGGAACCAACGGCACGGGGCGGGCGCCGGGGCCGGAACCGGTTCCGCGGCTCCGGGACGCCGATCCGGGTCCGGGTCCTCGGGACCGCGATTCGGGTCGGGCTCTGCGTCCGCGGGTCCTGGCGCCGGGTCCGCGCTCGCGTTCGGGTCTGGTTCCGCGAGTCCGGAGCGGGGCTCCGATACCGGCTGCGGGGATCCGGGCCGCGTCCATGGGTCCGCGGTGTGGGTCCGGGTGTGGCAGCGGGCCCGTGAGTCCGGGGACCAGAACCTTTTCACCTCCAATTTTCCTCGCTGCACCGGGTCAACTGCCCCCATCTCTTCTTAATTTTGAGTTCTTCCCTCCCTTCTTTCCTTCATTCCCTCCCTCCTCCTTTCCTCCCTTACACCCTTCTTAACTCCCTCCCTCAAATCCCTCCCTGCCTCCCTTCCTACCTTCCTTCCATACTCCTCGTGAGAGGCGGATGAGGCAACACGGAGCCTCCCATGGGCAGCAGTTGTTAGGATGAGCCCTCGGTGGGGAGTGTTTGATGAGAATGTGTGCTTGGTTCAGGGCGTAGGGATGGAGCAGGCTCCCTCTGCACGTGGGGTTTTGAAAGACATTCCAAATGAAGCTGAAAGCCACTGGGACTTCCCTTTGGAGCCCTTTTTCATACCGACCCGAGGTGGGGTTGGCGTTTGGATCACGGAATCAATAAGGATGGAAAATGTGAGAGGCGGGTGGTGTTTTTGCAGTGGAAGTTTCCAGTGTTTTCTGTATGTAGTCTAGGCCCTGACTGAACTGAAAACCTTCCTGCGAAACAGTGAGACAAGTTGTTTTTCACAAAGAAAGCTGCTGAACGGAGTAAAGTGCAGATTGGGGCGTTTTGGCTCAGGTAGGATTGAGACAGGCAAAAGGCAAAGGAAACAGGCAGGGCGGGGAGAGCCTAGCGCAGCACGGAACCAATGTGCTTCCTTTTGGAAACACTGCCCTCCTACCTCTGTAGAAAAGCACAGGCCATACCTAAAAATAACAAGTTGGTAACAGACCTTCTATTGTGGCAACAGCATCGGGAAGATGGTGACCTGGAGAAGCTCAACCAACCTGTGCCAGGAGAGGAATTACCGCGTCGGACCCGGGGATGGAACTGAATGAATGGACTGCTGTGCAATTTCTCCCTTTGGCCAGTAGGGGCCCATTGTTGCAATAATGGACAGACTTTGCTGCTATCACAAAGATCTCTGCCTGCTTAAAAACCTATGATTCGGAGCGTTTTCCTCAGCGATGGATGACAGAGGGAACACGCAGTGATCACGAGGGGTGGGATCATGGCGAGGCGGTGGGGTGACCACGGGATGACAGTGAGGGAACACAGAGGGAAACACGACAGATCACAGGGAGGAGCGTAAGGTGGGAATGAGGTTGTGAAGAGGTGGCCACGGGGTGGCCATGGGGCAACACACGTCAGCACCCACCAACCAACGCCCACCCAAGCCCAGCTTGACCCCAAGCATCAATCATCATCTGCATTCTGCCCAACTCCACACAGATTCAAGGCCTTCCGCATGGCGTCACGTATGCTTGGATGAGGACACCTGTCCTGGCTCTACATCATCATGGCAATGGTTCTTCCCCTCTTAGTGGCCCGGCCCGGCCTCAGGAGTGCTCCATCACTCAGCAACAGCCAAAAAACCAGTGTGCTACTCACAGTGTCTGAGCTGGAACCAGAACACTGTGGGGTCATTTTGATGGGAACACCGAGTGATCGCAAGGTGTCACGGCCTAACCGTAACACAGCCATGAGGTGTTCATGGGTGAGAAAGTGGGTGCAAAATGTGTATCTCTGGGATGACTGCGGGGTAATCATGGTGAGGACATGGGTTGGCATACTGAGAACATGGTGGCAAGATTGGGTGACCACGGGGTTGATAGGAAGGAGTCTCAGGGGGAAAAATGGCTTGAGAGTGAAGGGACCAGAAGGGGAAAGTCTGGCCAATGAGAGGTGAGCACGAGTAATCGTGTGGGTCACATCGGGCAAAGATGGTGTAGCGATGGGTGATGGGGTGACAAAGAGGTGACCACTGGGTGACCACAGTGGGGTGTCATTGGGTGACCACTGTAAGGAAGGGGAAGGACCACGGAGTCAACACTTCAGCGAGTTCTAATTGAGAAGGGGACAGAGCAGGCTCTGCAGCGGCAGCAGGGAACGCGGTGACAACACAAAGGGAAACTCTAGCTCCTGGCTGGGGAGTGCAGGACATGCTGGTGGAGCAGCAGTGTGGGGCAGCTGCTAGTTCAGGATCCCTGGAGTGGTTGGATCAGGGTGCCCTGAAACTGAGCGAGACAAGGTCAGTGTGGTCACAACTCACCGCCGCCATCTCCTTCCCCACAGCACAGCCCCGCTGCCCCACTGCTCACCTTTCTTACTGTGCCGGAAGAGGAAGAGCCCCAGCGCCAGGTAGATGAGCCCCACCACAAAGCCCCCAATGCCCACCAGCAGCTTGCTCCTGCCCACATCCACCAGCGGCTCTGCAGGGACAGGAAGGGGAGCTCAGGTTCTGAAGGCCACACTCCCACTCCCCGCACAGCTGACAGGGGCTAGGGGCCTTACCCCAGAGCTGGATGATGGGCTGCCGCAGGCTGGTGTGCTCCACCTGGCACGCGTAGCTGTCCCCGTGCCGTGGGCTGGTCTCCAGCAGCACCAGCACCTGGTAGGTCCAGTCTCCGTTCTGGATCACGTCCGTGGACACGACGCGCTCCATCTCCTCCCGCCCATTCTGGAACCACTTCACTTCGATCTCGGGGGGGTAGAAGCCTGTCACGTAGCAAGCCAGCCGGTCGGTTTGGGGCTGGGAGCCCGACTGCAGCGCACAGATCCTCACCTTGGGCTCTGCCGGGGGACAGAGGGAGAGCGTTGGGGACAGGCTGTGAGAGCGCCGCGTGTGCTCATCAGCGCTGTGCCCGTCGCGAGCTGTGGGGACGCGTGAGCTCACCTCTCTTCTGCAGCATCAGAGGGGCCACTATCTCGTGGTTGTAGTTGCAGAGCATTTCCACCGCAGCCCTGTTCTTCTCCAGCACGTCCGGCTGGCTGTTGAAGAGCCGAGCAGAAGGCTCTCCCAGGACCGTGTCGGCCACGAAGAGACCGACATCGCTGTCAAAGTGCACGTACTGCTGCCGGTTGTAGACGTGCCTCACCAGAAACCTCATCCGCTCGGTGCCATTGAGGAAGTGGCACTCAACTGTAGCGCTCCACTGGAAAAACGCTGCGGGGAGAGGGCGCCGTCACGGAGCGCAGCTGCCCCCCGCCAGACCCGAAAGCCCCTCCCCGCCCTCGCTCCGTCCCGGCCCCACCCCGCGCCCCCCACGGCTGCGGTGCCGCTGGCGCCGGCGTCCTGAGCCCCGGGGCTCCGAACGCCGCGCGCGGGGCTGGGATGGGTGCCTGGAGAGCCCGGCAGGGACCGACCTGCACCATCCCCACCCTGGCGCTCCGCGCTCACCCGAGGGCCGCGTGCCAGCGGCCAGCCGTGCTCCCAGCGCCACCAGTGCCACCAGCACGGCCCCGGCCGCCACCACACGGCCGCTCCCCATGGCTGCTGTCGGAGGAGGATGAAGGGTGCCGGCAGCCCGCGCCGCTGCTCCGGAGCAGGGAGTGCCTGGGCTGGGCGGCATCACCCGTCTCCAGGCAGATCTCCATTGCGGGTACCTCGATCAGCCCTGGCGTGACGGCGCTGTCTTGTGTGCCATCCGTCTGTCTGCCTGCTCCGAGGAATGCTCGCTGCTCTCTCCCCCCTCCAGTATTTCATAGTGGCCAATTGTAAGAGGGAGCTCTGTGATGCAGAGCTCTCTCCATACACCAGTGATTCCACCCAGCCCTGCTGCTAACTGCTCTGTGGGACACGCTCAGTTGCTTGCTATACCACTTCCCAGGCTCTTCCCATCCTTTCCGGCCTGTGGTCGCCCTATGCTCATCCCAGTGTCATTGCATGGTCAATTTGTGACCACACAATATTCTGCCCATGGTCTCTCCATGGTCACCCCACAGTTCCTTCACACTTCCTTCATCGTAACTTCACGGTCACCCAGTGATCCCCCTGCTCTCACCTGGTTATCCCAAGATACCCCCATAATCACCTCTTTGCCACCCCATTCTTATGGGATATTGCCTCTTATGTCTTACCGTGGTCACTTCATGTTCTCCCCGTGGTCCCCTTCAATCACCCCATGGTCACCCACGGTTGCCCTCACGGACCTCCCAGACCTCACAGCGCTGTTGCACAGGGCTACAAACGCTGCAGTGACACAGGTCAGCAGAGGGGCTGGGCTGTCTCCAAGCACCCTTCCTCTGACCAAGCACCCCAAGGACAGGACCCACATAAGGGGATGTGTGGGTCAGGATGGGGATGTGGGGCTATGATGGCACATGGGACGCTCACCCTCATCACAGCGGGCTCCTGTGGCTACAGGCACCATTCATCTGCATGACCTTGACCATGAGGACGGTGCTTGTGTTGATGCTGGCCACGGCCATGGTCAGGCCCATGGTGCACACCAGAGTCTCAGTGCTCTCGGAGGTGAGCAGGAGCAGCTGGGGCT